ACATCTTAAAGAGGGGATCAGCTCAGATCAGATCAGTGGAGTTTCTTCTGAGAAGTGATGAATAATTGGCAGTATCGCAGCAGTAAATGAATCTCTTGTAAGTTATTCAATCATCGCTTGAGCTCATGCACTTTTCCCATCCAAAAAGCCAATTCAAATCATTGCAATTCATTCGCCGCCAGGCGAACTCCAGTAGCCCATCCGTAAGTTTGGTGTAAATGGGCCCATTAAGTGTCTTGTCCGAGCCATTGGATGTGATGTGTTGTGTTGTGATGTGAGGAGCGAATAACCGCAGGCTGAAACACTCTGAAATCACTGCACACTGGTGACTGCCAACTGCGATGATGGCCTAGCCCACTTACGAGCCACAATATAAGTTTTATTGCTCTGCTCTGATGGAGCTTACGACCAGTTTTGCCTCCATTCCTTATCTAGAGAGAGAGAAGAAGACTCCCCCCACAGTAATGCTGCCTCTCTCTCTCTCTCTCTCTTGGCCATAAACGATGACAAGCTCATTCCATAACACATTTCCGGTGTGGCTGGGGGGGGCCATTAACTAAAGACTCAGAGAGTACTGAGTACAGAGAGCAAATGTGGTGCAAATTATCAGTTTGCCTTTAAGGCCAATTTGCAATTGTTTAATCACTGTAAACACTCGGAACAATACAGTCTCGCCCAGACTCGACCTCAGCCTCAATGTTGCACCTGGGTTCTACGACTTTTGAAGGACCGTCTCCGTCTCCGGTTCGTAGACCAATTAGTCAAGTCAGTTTCCATTATTTTTCTCTCTGTCTTTCTCTCTGTTTTGCAGTGAGGTGTGAGTGAGGTCCTGGACGTGCCCTGACATATTCATATTTCACAATGTAAACTTGTGCACGTACTCTGCACTCTCCTCTCTCTGCTGAGAGTTGGGCAAACAATGCGCATTCGTATCCCATAGATACTCACACAAAAGAACAAATAGGAAAGAGAAATACTTAACATTCCCCGACTGTAGAGATACCTTTAAAGAACCCTTCTAAAAAGAATTGCCAGAATGGCAGAAAGAACTTCGTTTGCAGAGAGACAGAGAGAGAGAAGGGTTTGCTCGTACTGGAAACTTGTTTTCTTCATACTGTTACGATAGATAATAGTTACACTTTCTGTTAACAATATTCACCATTTGAATCTCAAGAAAAAGCACTTCAAGCTGGGCATTCCCCATTGTTGGACAATCCTCACTCCTCCCACATACGAGTATTTGCTGATGTATTCCCATCATGTTTACATGGCAGCAGGGAGTGACACAGTACAGGGGCTGTGCCTCTTATCGCATGCCTCTTATCAACAGTTTGGCCCGCGGGCAGTGCATTTGTCTCACGTTTCTGCATGGCCAGCGGGAAAGTGGCAATGCAAAAAGAGACAGAAAGAGTGAGCTAAGGTGCCAAAGGCCAAGAGACACTCACAGACACACACACACACCTGAGCGACGTGTACTTATGGTTGTATTTTTCTCATTATCGACACTGTCTCGGCCATAATTTTCCGTGTGCACTGTGTGTGTCTCTCTCTGTCTCTAATCCATTTGGCCGACATGTTTGCTTCGGCAAAAATGATAAGGAGTGTGGACGGGGCGAGAGGTTGGTTGGTTCGTTAGGTTGGTAGCACATGACTCTGCCTGCCACTGCCACTGCCACCAATTGTTAGATAATACGTGAAGAAGTGAATATCTGGCCAAACGCAAACGCAACGCAACGCAACGCAACCTCAACTTCAACTCAAGTGTCGAATGCCGAGATAAAATACCTTTGAACACACAACAGAAAGCGAAAGTTTTTCTACTTCGTTGGGTTTTGGGTTTTTGTTTTGAAAAGAGGCCCATGGAAAACTCATATTTGATATAGCGGAAAAGCTGTCAAAGAGATGTTGTTGGAGAAGCTGCTGTGGTAAGGGAATAGTTATGTGGTCACCTGCCTGGTTCCCCACCCTCCAAAGTCTCCTTTCTTATCTTTTGACAAGTTCTTTCATTAATTTCTGCATCTCTCATTCTCTCTTTCCATCTGCAACTCTTTGCTTACCTTAACCTTGCCTCTCATTCATCAATTTCCAGCTGCCTGCCAATAGCTTGGCCGGACAACCTGTTAAACAAATTTGAATTCGCAAAATGTTTGCACAACTTGAGCACTGAAATAAATTAGCTTACTTACGACTTCAGAGCAGCTCTCTGTCTCTGTCTCTGTCTCTTCTGTCTCTGTCCCCTGTCTGCGTCTTTGGCTTTTACACGAGTAAAGTGTGTCTGGCCATCAAGTGGGGTACTGGGAGGGGAAACAGCAGCACAGATGTAAATGCAAATGCAAATGCACTCCACACAACACTCTCTACCCTGAAGCTGTACCTGTGTACCTCTATTTTCTACTCGCCACTCAATATTCTGTGGCTGTGACTGTTGCTGTGGCCCGTTGTCGTTGTCGTTGTCGTTATTAAGCTTGAAATTAAATAAACAACAACGGCTAATTAGAAGAGTCGTGTCTGGAGTCCTGTTTTGGTTACTTGATCCCTGCTCTAACAGTCGCTGACACAAAGGGTTGGCCATAATTGAAGGGCTGCCCGAGGGGCATGCGGCAGCACCGTCTCTGCAGCACCACAGATGCATCCATCACACAGAGATCGAGAGGCCAGCAGGGACAGAGACAAGGCGCAGGGAGGAAGACACAGGTGAGATTAAAATAAATGTGCTCCAAATGCGCACAAATGCGAAAAGTAATTGACGCTGGAGCGTGTCTTGAGATGTCTGGCAAGAAGCCGGTTCCAGTTCTCAGCTTAGATTTCAAAATGCAAACAGCGGAAAACATTCGAAGATGGCTTTCCGACACAATCTCTGTAGGTCTTTGAATGTAGAGATGGTTGCGTGATGCACTCATAGCCTTGAGGTGGATCTCCCCTTTGGCTCCTCTACAACATAGAAATTCCTTCATTCGTGTCACGCTTACATCCTCCAAAGGGTACCTAAAGGGTTTATTAGCATGCCGCTGACTGATGGCAATTAATAGTTCTCCATGGACTATAGACTCCATCTTCGGCCTATCCCATCCCATCCTAGAGGACGTGCGCCTGACTGAAGGCCCGCAATTAAGGGGAGACTAATGGAGGAGGACGTGGAAGGAAGCAGAATGAATGCCAAGTAAGGCATTCAGATAGATGCATAGATCCCCCTGTGGCATGGCAAATAAAATCAGTTATTAATAGTCGCGAACGTGGAGCCGTTGATTTCTTTTTGCCGAGGATTTCAATTGATTGAAAGGCCAAGTGAGAAGCCTATAAATAATCAAGGGCCCAGAGAGAGAACCCAAGCCAAGCGCCCCATAAGGCAATAAATTCTCATGGGCCCAAAGACCACGCACGTTGCCTAGGAAAATTGATTGAAGGAATGGCCAAAGGCAGAGTCAGAGACGGAGTCAGGGGCATGGGAATGGTTTTCCCTTATCGGGTAATAGCGGAATAGGCATGACCAAAAACGATAAGGGCAAGTCCAAGGGCTGTGCCCAAGCACCACACTGAATTTCTGGGCAAAATCTAATCAGTCTTAATTGAGCGTCACACCAAAAACCAAAGACCAAAAGACCCTTAAACTGTCAGGAAAACTTACAGAACGAAAACGAAACCGAAATCGAAACCGATAAAATGGAAAAACGAAACTAAACCCAAGTAGCATCGTCTCCAGCATATCTCTCAATATTAATTACGATTATGTCAGAGGAGGTCTTCAGGTCTTCTGTCTTCTACCCGTCGTGAGTTTATCTGCAGGATAACCGCAGGGCAGAGACTCCCTGAGGGACATAATTTTTCCACATTTCCCTCTCACTGATTAAGTGGGCGCCCCACAGCTCTCGGCTCTCCTCTCTCCTCTGCGTCTAGACACACAATTTTTCTCCTTCGACATTTAATTTTTGAGTGTGACGCGGGGACTCGGAGAAAATTGATTAGAATTAATGTCTGTCCGTGGCGTCGTCAGGCGCTGAAGTTGATTGAATGACTTTTTGGTGGGGGACTTGACTACTGATGAAAATATATGACAGCATAAATCTATTGATCAACATTCGTCGCTGATCACAGATCGATTGAGTGCCGCGCTGCCATTAAATCATATTTTCCTTCACAGCAACAAAACCGATTCGGATGGGAATTGGAATTTTTAAAGTGGACTTTAAATGAACTCCAAAGTGTTCCGTAATGATTCTTGTAGAGTGTTGGTTCCAGCAAAAATAGCAGTTGAAATTGGTCTAATGAGTTCGCACTTAAGGTGAGGAAATATTAAAGACATTCCTTTCTCTTTTCCATATCAGTCAAAGCTCTTACTTACTAATCGAACTAATCGAAAGCCTTCTCTTGATACCCAATCTAATCGGTGGCTCCTTTCATTTACTATAGAGCCCACATAAATATAACTTTGGGGAACCACAAGCGAGTGCAGAATAGCTTCTTTATCGCGATGAGCTCATGTGTTGTTTTTTTGAACAGAATAACTTGAGACATTCTAAGCACTAAAAGATTTGAGGCATCACCTGTACGAGGAGGAGGAGTACAAGCTCACGACATTGCGATATCGCACCTGAGAAGCCGTAAAGTAGAACATCAAACGGTGTCGACTCTCTGACTCGGAGGTGAGGTGATAACGAATGGAAAATTGCGGAAACTTTGCTTGGCAGCTGCCAAAGATAGAGAAAGAGATCTCTCAGCGATCCGTTACGTTTTCAGGCTCAAACTGTGGCCATCCAGCGGCGGCTGTCACAACAGTGCCACCAACCACAGTCACAGCCACAACCACAACTGCAGTTGAAGAAGTGGCGACGACGTCTGGCAGGCAGATGGGGCATGCAGATAGCAGAACGGCTGATGAGTTGATCCTGAAGAAGGGAGGCTGGCATCTCCTCCTTCCCCTCCTTCCCCTCCTGAATGTCTTAATCTCCGCGCTAAAGCGGTATAGTTTATGGATCACGGGTTGCATATCTGCAGATACTAACCGATTTGATGTGGATGCGCCGCGAGACGGGCACATCGTAGTCCAGGTCCGCGTTCGTTGCATTCGAGCTGCAGCAGGAGCCGGACATCGAGACGGAACTCTGTTTATCCAGCATTTTAGCAGCGGATTTCAATGGCAGTTCGAGTGAGTATCTCTAGAGAGGATTTTGTCAGAGCTTAAAGCTGGCACAACATCGAGATAGATTTAGATATATTTAATCCAGGACAATATAAATAAAGTATCTCGCCGCTGTGAGACGGTTCACCGCGTAGTCGCACACTTCACTTTGGGTTTTTAATCTTTATCTGCAATGCTCACACATCTGCATATGTATCTTGTATCTTTCTTTAATGCCGAATCAGCTTTTTGCGATTTCAAGTTTAGCCGCGGGGCAAGCCGAAAAAAAACTCAAACTCCGATACCGAAATCGAAAAACAAAAGCCGCTGCCAAAACCACAAACGTAGCAAAAACAAAAAATATTTGCTGTTTATTTCTCTTATAGTTTCTTTCTGTTTGTCACGACTCGTATCTTGTATCTGGAACTCGTACTCTTAGTCGTAGTCGTATCTTTTGCTTGCACTTCGCACTTCGAATGTGTGTGTACCGCACCGCAGCAGGCGACTCCGCAGACTGTGGCGTTCTGTGTGGCAGACCCACAGCCATACACCACGGTGCCTGCTACGCCATCAGCTGATTGCGCTTCGGCTTTCGTTCGGCCACGCGTCGTGTCTTGTCGGTTTGGTTCGGCTGCTGCGCTTCGTGTGTCTCTTACGGTACTCGTTCTTATAGAGCAAGTCGATGCGTTCGCTCGCTTGCTTTTATTTGCATACTATATTCGTATATTTAAATAAAAAGCAGTTGGATTATGGATTACGCGAAGGAAAATTGCAGTTTTCCGAAGAGAATTACGAGAATCTGATTCAAGTTGGAGTTATTTGGATAAATATTATCAGGGCAAATATTATCAATGAAAAGCAAAGAGATTTCAATTCATAAAGAGTTCTTCAAAAATAAATAAGAAGTTATACTATAAAGTTATCCAAAGATGTATCCATAGAATCTATAAGAACTTACGAAGGTGCTCCATTCAGATCACTTGGGAGAAATCTTTATCTATTAATAATAGCCACATATTTTATCATCAAGTTTCATCCCTCAAAGATATCTACTGGCAACATCTCGAATAGCCACATAGCATAACCATTTCTATGGGGTATTATGTTTCCCTTTGCTCTCAAGTTGACTGCCCTCTCACCAGACGATGATATTTTCGTTCCAATTTCTATTTGGATATGACAAATATTCGGTTATGGGAGACAACTCAGCGCCAATATACGATTCTATGTATCGAAGAACATATCAAATGCAGACGCTATCCATTGTGGGGAATGTTTACCCTACAAAAAGCTCAATTAGCCGACAGATGATGATGGGAGGGACCCCTGCTGCAAGCTCACGTTACCTCAAACCGATGAATAAGAGTGTACCCTGCCCCATCCGAATACAGAATACAGTAGCTTCATGTAACAGCAGCAGCTGTCCAAACACAACACATTTTTTGTGTGTACATTGAGGCCTGAATAAGAGGCGTGAAGTTCTGCCCAAAAAAAAAAAGAGGAAACAGAAACACCTCCTTAACAAGTCAATGGGCTGAAGGTCAGGGGTAACCCGTTTCGTTCCATAAAAAGGAAGTTCTTATGGATTGCTCCCCCCCTCTCGTGCAATACGAAACGCGATAAACGAGAAACAGAACGAAGAGACTCGCATTGCCTCGCCACTGATGTTGCAGCTGCAGTTTTTTGTGGAAGTTGAATGTGACATTTGACATGATTTGCATGCCACACAAGTGCCACGCCCACATCAGTCACGTCAAGAGTCTGAAACGGAGATGGAGATGGAATTGAAAAGAAAGACAGCGACAGGGAGACAGTCCAAGGCAACAACATGAAAATTGTAGTGCCCCCAAGACAGCCAGACAGACAGTCGGACAGACCCCCGCCAGTTAAAAACGAAAGACAGAAAGACAGAAAACTCGTTGAGTTTTATTGTCACTTTCGTTGGGGAATTGATTTAATTTAATTTGATTTGATTTGATTTTCTTATGGCAGACAAAACACTTTAGGACAGGGATTACCATTTTGAGCGACTTGGCTTTGGCTTTCTCGATCGATTTGTGTTCTTATCTCAAATGCTTGGGTCGTAAAAAAGTTTTCAACAAATAAGATTTTCCTCTCCATTTGCGTGGGGGCTTCTACTCGTATTTCTTCATGACAATTGGGGGAAAAGTTCAAGCCATTCAATTTGCATGGAAATCACTCTTTATAAGGGATTCAGCTCTGTCCATCTCCATCTGTACATCTGTGATGCATGTGCATTATCCTGTTTTACAGTAATTACAGTCGTTCGTCCCGTCATTATCCTTCGAGGACAATGACAATTTCGAGCTCATTTGTTGGATATTCTTTGTTGCTGTCACGCGTGGCATAAACCGGGTTCTGGCTGACTATAGAAACAATTTCGGAATCCAGAATCCAGGCAGCGAGGATGAGAGTTGGGGGAGAGAACCCACCCGCATTCCAGGGAATTAGTCGGCAATTTTTGGACATTTCTCTCTCTGTGTGTGTGCCGTGCCTCAGGGTTACAAAAATAAATGCAAGGCAAACAATGACCAACAGAAAGGAAGGGACACACACAGATGTATGTATAAGCCATTTAATTGCCTCGTTAGACCCACAAAAATGGTTGGCTTTGGCATCTTTAATTTCGTTTACTCTCACTCTTAAAGCTTCCACCCACCTACTGACATTCTGTGTTACACTTTTTGGGGCATGTTTTTTTTTTTATTTATTTTTTTTGGGCATCATAAATATGCAAATGAAAAGATGTTAGAGCAGCGTCAGCGTGTGGCTTCGCTTAGCCTCACCTTCCGGGTGGGAAGAGCCAAAAGCAGCATTCATAACACCTCGTAACATGTTTCCATTTGCAATTTAGAAGTTGAATAAATAATATATGTAAATCAGACCAACGAAAACACGCACCGCACCCCCACATTACATATTTTCCATTCACGTAGCGTGTAGTACATACACAGATACATATTTACATATGTATGTATACATATTTTGCTATCGCTGCTCTTACGCAAAAAAGAAATACAAATATTGTAGGCGTCATAGGTTTTATCTAAATTATTTTGTTTTTCTCTTGTGTGTGCCCTGGAAAACGTTCCCCCATTTTATTGGGAATTATGGCACCTGTCTGCTCATCCAAAACAGATCTCGCAATCAGCAAAAGAACATTTCAACGAGAAAAACATCTCTGAGCAAATATTTGTCGTGTGTTAATTGAGGAATTTCCATGACCAGCCAGGGGCATCTATAACAAATGGAGGCATTGTATATTTTATTGCAGTTACCCTCCGGCTAAAATGACCCTCAAGGGAGAGAATACTACGTACTGCTCTTTGGGGGTGGAATTTAGTTGTATCTCTATTTGGGATGGAATGTCCTTTACAATTTAGTGAACAGATGTGTCCACTACAACAGCTGGAGTGCCTCTCATCAGTTGGCTGGGGAGCTGAATAATGGTTAAATTATTGGAAAACATTCCCTGCTTCTATTCCTAGCGTTACAACCATCCAAAAACCCATCTGATATTTGAAAGAACATCTTGGGGTAGGTCACAGCTCCAAGCCATAGCCCCAATTGTGAGTTTCCCAATCAACAAACCGCTCTCTAGGGCCAATCAGCTTATTTGGCTTCTGTTGGCTGTTGCCGTTGGCCATGCGTGCCGCCATAAATGGCCAGAACGTGCCACATTCGGAAAACAATGCATAAGCGTATTTCACTCGAAACCTGGCAATGGAATGGAATGGAAGTGTGTGTGGATGCCACTGAAATCAGAAATCGGTGGAGAGAAATCACAAAAATCACAAGTGTCGAGCAGCGGAAACAAAGAGCAATAAGAGCGCAGAGATTGGAACAGAAATGGAGCAGAAATTGGAGCAGAAATGAAGCAGACCCCAAAAATGCACTTTACACGCGACCAAACGGAATGGATTCCGAGAATTCCGGTCTCCCGGTCTCCCGGTCTCCCAGTCTTTCATTCTTAATGTTAAGCCAACCATTAGGCTGGGGGCAAGATTACTTCTACTCGTACAACAATTAGAAGAACCCAAAGCGACAAACGGCTGACGGCACTTCATCAGCAGACGGCACTCTGGGGCACGTGATAAGATGATGAAGAGAGAGGGGGAGAGGCAAGCAGTTTCCAATCAGTAAAAGTGATTGGGAAACGGGCAACAGGCAACAACGTGGGGCAGGGTGTAGTGGTACTACTCCATGTTGGGTAATAAATTCATCAATTATCAGGGGACACACTGCCGCAGCCACTCCTCGTGGTGGCCATAAAACAATAGAGAGAAAGAGCGCAAGGGAGATGCAGACGACCGAACCCACTTTTGGTGGAAATTGAAAAACAGGATCGTCTTCTGCATCAGATGGGATGGTATTGAGTGGTTATGGGCTTAGGATGGTGTGGCATCAGCTGCGGGCACAATTAAGATGTACATCTTAATGAAACTCAAAATTTTACAACTGCGTTTGCTTTTGGGGTTGGACCAGAGGTCAGTCGCGATGCCAGAGGTTGGAACGTTAGAGAAAGGCACAGCAAAAGTTGAGCCAATAAATATGCAGTCAGTTAGCTTTGATATTTCTATAGAGAGAGTTCTTTAACCTCTTCCATTTCGTGCTTTTTTCAAGGCACTTACCCGAAAAAACAAAACCAACCGCCAACACTTCATGCAGTGGGTTAATTATCCCATAATATTAATGTTCATTGGGTTCAAAAGAAACATTTAAGCGACTAAACGATTTCATCGTATTGAATACCCTGACAATGGGGTATGATGGCACTCACACGGGACACAAACCTAAATCTGATTACATTTCAAACCATCTATGGCAGCATTTCCCAGGGTATTCCCAACTTCTGGTCTCTGAAAACAGTCGAAAACTCCCCCTTTGGGTTTCCTCATATTTTGCTGCTGTCAAACTACAAAAAACAAAAAAAAAAGCAACGCTCTGTGCGCTCCATTTATCATCGCAAAATCATAGATCTCTCACTTGGTGCCAGCAGCAGCAGATCTTCCTCCATAGATCTTCTATGTACAGAGGCTGTCGGCAATTTCACACATTATGGCCTTAGGGCTGCTGAGGCCTAAAAATAAACCATAAATACAGACCGAATGCAAAATAAATATAACAAGATGGAGCGAAAAAGAAACACCAGTCTGGACGGGACCTAAGTAAATCGTTTGGCAGCTGTGCGGCGCGTTTGACAATTTGCCGCCTTCTACTTCTACTTCTGCTGCCAGGCGGTATCTTAATCTACGATACAGGGGCAGGGCGGATCCGAATCCGAATCCGACTCCATTTCCAACTCCAAATCCGGATTCCTGACTGCGCCACCCAGCGATAATAACAAACAATTTGTTTGTTTTGCTTTCTGCTGTCAGTGAGATCAGTGTTAGTGTTCCTCTGGGGCTCCTCTCTCTCCTCATTCTGCTGTGCAGATTTTGTGCCAATGTTTGCATAATTCATGAGATCCCCCAACTATCCACAGTCCGCATTGCACCCAC